AATGTAAATTATTCTAACAAATATTTTAACAATATTTCCTCTTTTAAAAAATAAGCTAATGAAGACATAAATCTTAAACCCTAAAAAATTAAATACTGCAACATCTTTTTTAAAATATATAATGTTAATTTTATTTTTTTAAAATATAAAAAAGTCCTAATTTCACAATATAAAAATAAAAAGAAAAATTCATAGTAAAACAAATAAAATAATTGTTGATTCATAAAAGGAGGGGAATAAGAGTAACAAACTTAAGGAAATGAGATAAGTCGCAATTTTTATGCTGAGAGGGTTGTTCCCCCAACTATGATCAATTTTCATCTCATTCTACTCACAGAAACCCTAACAAATTCATCTTATATATATATATATATTGTAGAGATTATGATATCAATTTCATCTTTCACTTTTTTCTTTGCTTGACGTGTGTTATAAAAAAAATTACCACTTAAAAGTTAAAATTTTAAGCATTTTTTTGTGTTATATAAAGGAACAAATTCAACTACATAGAATAAAATAAAGCAAGTCAATTAAAGAGAACGAACAGAAAAATAGAGCAAATCAATGACACTATCATTTACATATCGGAGTTTCACAAAATAGGGGAATGAGATGAGAACAATACTACAATATTATATATGAGCAATGAACAATAGTGCAGTATTATTAGCAGAGAAAAAATGGAGAAGACAGGAGCATAAAAAAGAAAAAAATGAAAAACTCACTTGAAAATTCTTGAAAAGTCACTTCAAACAATCCTTCAAAATCCGATGGGTTTGGATGGGATTGTTTTATGAATTTGGTATTTATAGATAACACTAGAAAGTTCTTCAAAATCCTTCTCACACAACAATCCTTTAAAATCCTTATATTTTTGAATACCAATGAATTATTTTTAAGTTGTAAAAAATCTCAAATGAATACCAATGGATTTTAATGGACTCTTTAAAAAATCTTGAAAATCCTAATTGAATATCACTGGATTGTTTTTAAGTGACATAAAATCTTGATTGAATACCAATAGATTTTTTTACTCAAAAAAAGTCCTTTAAAATCTTACGAAATCCTAAACCAATACACCCCCTTATATTATTATTTAATAGACAAGGACTAATATCATGTAGTAAATTAAAATATATATATATATATTAATCAAGTAATTTAAATTTTTTTTAATAAATAATAATTTAAAAATTGATTTATTGAACATATTTAAATTTTTATAATAAATATATTTATAATGATTCTTATCTTTAAAAAAGATAAATATTTAATTTTGATAATAATTATTTTAAAATATATTTAAGATAATTTCTAAATAGTTAATGTATTAAAACAATTAAATTGCCTTAAAAAATTATGTTATACAAATACAAGTAAAAGATTCATGAGCACACGTAGTTTATGCTTGTATGATGTTATAGTTTAGTCTCCATTACAGTTGCTGCCATTTTTTCGTACGAAGTTTGAATCGGAAACCTTGAACCTGTCATCTTCTCCTAATCATTTCCGAAGCATGCTTCGCGCGAAGCATGTCTTGTCTTCCACACAGAAAGCCTTACTCCAACACTCGCGTCTTCTATCTTTCCCTTCAAATCCGCCACACGTTCTCAGCACTCAAAGCCATAATAACTCTCTTCTAAGAGAAGCCCTTTTGCAAATGGCCCTTTGTGGCCATGACATGGACTTCCAAGACTACAACACACTCTTAATCTGGTGTGTGGCCAAAAGGGCCTTTAGAGAAGGGCAGAGAGTCCATGCCCACATGATCAAAACTCACTTTGTTCCCTGTGTGTACCTGGGGACAAGGTTGGTCGTGTTCTATGCCAAGTGTTGCTCTTTGGGAGATGCTCGCCGCGTGTTCGATGAAATGCCGGACCGGAATGTGGTGTCGTGGACGGCTCTGATCTCGGCTTATTCTCAGAGAGGGTATGCCTATCAAGCCTTGAGTCTTTTTGTGCAGATGCTAAGATCAGGTATTCTTGGCTTGCTTGCACTTTGTACAAGTTCATATTTATGAGAGTGGTGATTATTGTTGGTAATTTTGGAGTGGAAAGAAGTGACATAGATTCATGAATGCTTATTTTTTGGTTTTACATAGGAAAGAAGGGTTGTCACTTGTTATACCCAAGTTGGTGCTTTTGGAGTTTTATATATTAATAGTGTGTTTGGGAACAGGTTAGACACTGTTGGATGTAGATCCCCAATCAAACTAATAGTTTCTTTTGTGTTGCCTTTGAAGTGGTTTTACACTAATGTGGATGGATGGGGAACTAAACACACTAAGATTCTTTTGAAAAGGAGTTAATTGTTGTCAATAATGTTATAGACCTTCATTGAATTGGAGGAACCTGTTGAGCTTATGATGAGCTTGTTATAAGGAGAAAGCAGGCGATGCAGATTTTTGTTGTTTAGTTAGGGTGCTGGGTTGAGACTTGTATTTTCGGGTCACTGTTGTGGCAATGGTTTCTGTGCTAATGGTAAAAGCTATGCCTTTTCGCAGGTACAGAACCTAATGCGTTCACTTTTGCTACTGTGCTTCCTTCATGTATAGGTTCTTTTGGTTTCATCTTAGGGAGGCAAATCCACTCTCTTATCATAAAATTTAAGTACGAAGCACATGTGTATGTTGGAAGCTCACTCCTTGATATGTATGCCAAACATGGTAAAATTCATGAAGCTCGAAGAATATTTGAATGCTTGCCCGTAAGAGATGTAGTTTCTTGTACTGCAATAATCTCTGGATATGCTCAACTGGGTCTGGATGAAGAAGCATTGGAGCTATTTCGCCGGTTGCAAGGGGAAGGAATGCAATCAAATTATGTTACTTATACTAGTGTTTTAACTGCACTTTCTGGACTTGCTGCTCTTGATCATGGCAAGCAAGTGCACAACCATCTTCTTCGCTCTGAAGTTCCCTCATTTGTGGTTCTTCAAAACTCTTTGATTGACATGTACTCAAAATGTGGAAACCTCACTTATGCGAGAAGGGTATTTGATACCATGCACGAGAGAACTGTGATCTCTTGGAATGCGATGCTTGGTGGGTATAGCAAACATGGAGAGGGAAGAGAAGTGCTCGAGCTTTTCAATTTAATGAGAGAAGAAAACAAAGTCAAACCTGACAGTGTCACAGTTTTGGCCGTGTTATCTGGTTGCAGTCATGGAGGACTAGAAGATAAGGGAATGGATATTTTTTATGCTATGACCGGTGGAAAAATTAGTGTTGAGCCAGTGACCAAGCACTATGGGTGTGTCGTTGATTTGCTTGGTCGTGCTGGTCGAGTGGAAGAAGCTTTCGAGTTCATCAAAAAGATGCCTTTTGAACCATCAGCTGCTATATGGGGTTCCCTTTTAGGTGCTTGCAGTGTTCATTCAAGTGTTGAAATTGGTGAATATGTGGGTCACCGGCTCCTTGAAATTGAGCCTGAAAATGCTGGCAATTATGTTATTCTGTCTAATTTATATGCTTCCGCTGGAAGATGGGAAGATGTAAGATCACTAAGGAACCTGATGTTGAAGAAGGCTGTAATAAAAGAGCCTGGAAGAAGCTGGATTGAGCTTGATCAAGTACTTCACACTTTCCATGCTAGTGATTGTTCGCATCCAAGAAGAGAAGAAGTATCTGCAAAAGTGCAGGAATTATCGGTCAGGTTTAAAGAAGCTGGTTATGTTCCTGATTTGAGTTGTGTTCTACATGATGTGGATGAAGAGCAGAAGGAGAAGATACTTCTAAGCCACAGTGAAAAGTTGGCTTTGTCTTTTGGGCTAATTGCTACTCCTGAAAGTGTGACAATCCGTGTAATAAAAAATCTTCGTATTTGTGTTGATTGCCATAATTTTGCTAAATATATGTCAAAGATTTACGGAAGAGAAGTGTCTTTGAGGGATAAAAACCGGTTTCATCGAATTGTGGGAGGAAAATGTTCCTGTGGAGATTACTGGTGAGAAGATCTTGATAGAGATCACTTGATGAACTTCTATAATTCATGAAAAAAGAGGCTCTTGGGATTTGGTCTTCAATCTGTTTTGATACTGAAATTAGATAGTTTAACAGTAGAGTTGTAATTCCACGGAGAAAAGGAGGAACAAAGAAGATTGCTGAGGTGAACAAAGAAATCTAGACTGACTAGTGACTAGGATTGAGTAATTTATCACTGGAATGTAATTTTTAAGAGGAATCAAAAAGCTTTAGTTGGATTGTAGAAAGTAATAGGGAAAACTGTCATATACTATTGTGCAGTAAAAGTACTGCTTATATAGAAAATAAAAATGGATCTTCTTAGTTTCTTTGTCAAATTGTCAATTGTTTGTTGATTAGAAGACACAAATGGTAAGTAGATTATTCCAACATCTAAATTTTTCTTTTATAAAGTGATGATCAATCTTAATATGTTTTGTCCAATCTTAATATGTTTTGTCCTATCATGCTGAATAGGATTCTGAGTTGTGCTTATTGTAGCCTTGTCATTGTACAACTTCAATGAGTTCAAGTGTCATACTAATTCTTCTAGAACTCTATAATTTTGTAGACCTTCACAAATTCCTTGGGTCATTGCTCTAAATTTCTCTTTTGCACTATTTCTAGTAACAACTCCTTGTTTGTTGTTTTTCCAAGTTACCGAGTTTTCCCACACTGGGTGCAATTCCCTAAGGTAGATTTTTTGTTATTGATGGACCTGCCCAATCTGCATGAGTGAAAACAACATTTGTTTCATTGTATTTTTTTTGAAAGAAAATCTTTACCTGAGTTGCGTTTTAAGTACCTCAAAATTTGATAGACTACCTCAAGGTTTTCTTCATAAGGAGAGTGCATAAATTGATTTATAACACTCATTGAAAGAGCAATGTGTGGTAGGGCATGAGATAGGTAAATTAGTTTTCCAGCCAACCTTTAATATCTTCCAACATTAATGGGAATTCTTCCTTTTTTTCCAAAGTTTAACATTGGGATCCATGGGGGCATTTATTGGTTTGCAACCACTTATTCTTGTTTCCTCCAAGAGGTCCAAAATGTGATTTTGTTAGGAAACAACAATCCTTTATTTGAGCAAGCAACCTTCATGCCAAGAAAGTATCTCAAAAGTCCCAAGCCCTTGATCACGAATTATGTTACGCAAGCTTTTTTTCAACCTCTCTAATTATACTTCATCATTTATAGTGAGGATAATATCGTCAACATAGACTATTAGTGCAACAACTTTCCTTTTAGAGGAAAACTTTGTAAATGAGGTATAATTTGCTTGCCTTTGGGATTATCCTTGTCTTTACCAATTAAATGAACTTTTCAAACTATGCACTTGGAGATTGTTTAAGCCCTTAGAGAGGTAATTTTTTTTTTATAGTTTACATACCTTTGACTCAAATTTGTCTTTGAATCTGGAGGACTATTCATGTATAACTCTTCCTCCAAGTCATCGTTGAGGAAGGGACTCTTTTACATCTAATTGATGCAATGACCAATCTAAGTTGGCTACAAGAGATAAGAAAATTCTAACAATGTTGAACTTTGCAATTGGGGTGAAGGTCTTTGAGTAGTCTATAGCATAGGTGTAAGTGAATCTCTTAGCCACTAGTCATACCTTGTATCTTTCCCTTAAACCATCAAAATTACATTTCACGATGAAAACCTTTTTACAACCCACAACATTCTTCCTAGCTGGTAATAGCATAATACTCCAAGTATAGTTCTTCTTAAGGGCTCTCATCTCCTTTAAGAACAATGTCCTTCCACTTCAGAACCTTTAAAGCTTCCTGTACATTTTTCTAGAATTTATACACTAGACAATAGAGAGGTAAATGAAGCAAAGGGTGAAAACAAATTTGAGTGTGAAATAGATTTTGATTGGGGATGCTTAGAACAAGATCTAACACCATTACGAAGGACTATAACATATTCATTTTGGAAGATTCAATTTGATTATTGGATTTAGGAGATTTATATGTATCAAGTTCATTAATTAAATTCTCCCTCGGTTCAAATTCATGGAAATGTTAGAGAGTTTATCCATGTTCAATTTCCATATTTTTTTCGCATATAAACCTTTCCTTTCCAAATTCAGTCACAATTGTTGAACTAGTTTCTTGTTTCTGTACAAGAATCATCATGTTGTGGCATTAAAGCTAATTCTTCCTTATTTTCGATGTCGGAGGATTGTGCAATGCAATTTTGCATTAAAGATGTAGCCCTAGATTCAGTGAGAACCTCACTCATTATGAGAGTAGGTCTAGATAATGAATCTTAGAAATTTGGTTTTAGTGCATCAATGCAAGTCTCAAAATTTTCTGAAATAAGCATATCATTTGAAAGGTATATAGTTTCAAAATAATCTTCCTTTGAACTCACCCTAAGGATGAATGTCATGAAAAAAAAAAAAAGATTAGTTTCTGAAGGTGACATCTATAGTTGCAAAATATCTTTTTGATTTTGGATCAAAACACTTGTATTCTTTTTTTAGTTAGACAAAAACCAATGAAAATACATTTTATAACACGTGGGTCAAGTTTTTCAATTTGCTTATGTTCATGAACAAAAGCAATACAACCAAATATTTTTAATAGTAAATCACTTGAAATATGTGCCATAGGAAAAGCTCTTTAAAAGTATTAAAATGAGTTTGAAATTGCAAAACTTTGGATGACATTCGGTTAATTAAAATATACGATAGTCAAAATAGTTTCACCTCATAAATATTACGAACTTCAGCAAAGAAGAGTGAAATTCTAGACACCTTTAAAAGATATTTTTTTTTTCTATCTACAATCCCATTTTATTAGGGTATATTAGCATTGGAATTGTGATGGACAACACCGTTTTCAAGAAAAAAAAACCCTAGAATTTTGTTAAAATACTCTTTTTTATTATTACTTTTGAATACTTGGTATATTTTTTTGAAATTGAACCTGCACCATTTTAAAAAAAATTGGTACAACTTTTTCAACTTCATATTTTACTTTTAATAAGTACACCTAACAAAGTCTAATAAAAAAATGCTTTTGATGGTTTATATGGTTAGAAATTCACATATTTCATAATGAAGTAAAGAGGGATCTTTATTACTCAACAACTAAGGAAACAAGTGTTTTAAATATCTAAAACTAGGGTGGATAACCAAAAATGCCATAACATGATATCCGCATTGTTATTTGAAACAAAAATAGATTCAAAACAAGAACTTATTGTTAGGGTTAATTGTCTTGATTCAAATCCATCTTGAAAGAGGTAGAGTCCTCCATTCTCCTTACTACTATCAATCGCCCTCCTCGAGCTCAAATCCTTAAAGACAAATGAGATTGAAAGAAATTAGGATGAAAATTTTTATCATGAACTAATTTATTGGGTGACAATAAATTATAATACAAGTTAGGAACATGCAAAACATTTTGGAGAGTTAATGTTAGGGATAGGAGAACAAAATCTTTTCCTACAATGGCTAAAAAAGAGCCATATGCAAACTTAATTTTTTGGTTACCTACACAACAAGTATATAAAGAGAAGAAACTAGTCTCTCTCATTATACTTAATATCTTTTTTTTTATTATATAATATGATTAAACTATAAATACTATTTTGTGATTGCATACATAGTTAAAATTATAGTTATCTTGATATATTACTATATTAATTATATTCGAGCTATTTATCTCCTAATATTTATATATCAAATTAAATATTTGATTTATTATCTCTATTAATTCATTGTTATAAATATAATTTTAGCATATTAATTATATTCAAGCTATTTATCTCTTAATATTTATATATCAAATTAAATCTTTGATCTATCATCTCTATCAATTCATTGTTATAAATATAAAATAAATAGAATTTTTAATTTTATTAAAAAAAATTCAAAATAAATATTGCTAGAAGATTTATAATATCATATATAAAAATTTAAATCTAATCTATATCCAAAACAATAGAAGAATTGAATTATAATGCTAGACTCGTACATATGCAAAAATTATCAATACAATAAACATGATTTGCAATTAAAAAAATAATAAACATAATAATCATCATTAGTATCATCTTCCTCAATATCAGTACTTTCTTCATCTTCTATTAAATGAATATTCTCATCATCACTTTCTTCATCAATATTGTCAACAACTTCTACAGGTACTACTGATTTTCCATTAGCTGTGGATTATGTTAAGTCATTCCTACTTAAAGACAACCCTTGTTCACTATCAAGAGCATTATACGTAAAAAGGGATCAAGCCAATATCTTCATTTTCTTGACAAGCCTCATCTATGGCTTCCTCGGGCATGTCATACAAACCTCAAGGCTTTGTTTTCAGAACAACTAGCCAATTAGAATATGGCTCATTAGTCCTCAATTTACGCTTACTATAAATAAGAACAAAGCCATATTTGTCTTCCTTATATCCTTTTCCTTTGGAAGACACGTCCCACCAATCACATTTAAATAAAACAATATTATTTCTGTGACACCCTCTACCCCGCATACCATAACACATAAATAATAAAATTCGAATAACATAATCTTTCATTATTAAAATACCAAATATATTCAGATAGAGAGCACCACATCTATAACTTAAACAAATAACATAATCAGCGGAAATTTCAATGAAATAAAGCTAAGGTTTTCAAAATAATTTAATAGAAATAACATCCTAATCAAATCCTATCTACGCCCCCATGTCACATGTCCTATCAGAGCAAAGCCCAACATAGAAGCCTAAGCTTCATCACCAACATCCTCAGCCTCATGTTGAAAATCACCTATATAACAGTCAAAGGAAAACAACAAAAAAGAAAAGGGAGTGAGAAACATCTCACTCTGGCTCATAGTGTAGGAATACACACCGGATAGCCAAACACAAATAAGACATGTATATGTACATAGCATAGATGGATTAACAACAATATCACATTCCACTCATCAAAGACATGCAAATATCAAGTTAACATATAACATTAAAATGCACATGTAATGGACACGGACTACATATTATCATGCATGTTGCGCCAGTAACACATATCACATGGTGTATTGCCACTAGCAATACACAGGAGTAGTCTAGGAGTATATACCGAGTCACACCCTCTGCGCACTCTCACTAGAAGGACATACTACCAGGGTCTCGCCGGGATAGCTACCCCGCGCAAGATACATCCCATGCACACAATGGGCGAGACTGGGACTTACAAACTGAGCTATCCCCAAGGACTAATCCCCAAGCTTTTACACAAGGGGGTCTTCCCTGGCAGTGTATTCCATATCGTACCTTATGCAAATGATGCATGTCAATCACGACTCTATGCATTCTCATATCACATT